TGTTGCTTTATTATAGTTGTGTCTGATATACACTGTAACAAAATCAGAAAACAAATAACATAGTATAAGAATTAAGACCCAGAATAAGTCATCTGAAGCTTTTGTATGCAGAAATATATATGGCCAGTCATGAATGCAAGAGACAAAACATATTCAGACCTGTAACTCTCATACAGAAGTTTCAGAGCACACTTGGAAACAGTAATCATCAAGTTGATAAATAATTAAAATAATTAACAAAACCTCCAACACTTTCAGTGGAGTGGTGTGAATAATGAATTACCAAGGAGACCTTTACATATAGAAACAACACAGCATACAAACAATTCCAGTCCTTCAGATATAGGACCCTAAAAAGAGTGATTTGGGCTTCAGAGCTGGCAAAGAACAGACCTCAAAAAGATAAAGACTTGATAACATGGTATTGTGATAAGTCATATGCACCCTGCTCTAAAAAAACCCCCAAAAACCAGAGCATACTTTCTAGGAACACAGACACACGAGTCACCAGAAAGGTACTGCTTTCAAGACAGCCTCTCCTTCCTCAACTACAAAACCACTTACAATTGTAAAAGTTAACTTTTAAAATATTAACAAAAGAGTCTCACAAATACAAGGGAACTGTCTTGTGATGCTTCAGCAGCAGAGGTGTTGATGAAATATCAAAGGAAAATGGAAGTGAATTGGGAATCATAATGTTCTTGCTCAGAGCAAGTAAATTTAGGGTTTTCTTTAGCCCACTCAAAACCATCTAACTCTACAATTCATTCTCTTGAAAATGCTAGCACCTCACCTTTGTGAAGGACTCTAGCTTCAAATAAAATGACTCAGTGGATCACTGAATCAAAGAGATGAACATTTGATAGAGTAATTGAAGTATCAACAAATATACCATTTACATAGCATATAGTTATTTGAGGTAAAGGAACTGAGGCCTAAAATTCTTGACTTCTAGAATTCATGGACTTTTTTAAGGACTCAAAGAATTTTTTTCATTTTCATGAGCCTCAACTGCAAAAAAAATGTATTGTAGTTGTCATGAAACCTGATTGTAACAAAATAAAGTTAAAGACAGGCATTTGATTAGCTGTTATGCAAGATCTCCCTTCAAAGCTAAATTGAAAAACTATTTACATAATTCTTAAGTAAGAAAGCTGCAACAGTGGCAAATTAGAAACTAAGAGCATGATAGATATTCTTTTCTTTACAGAAGCTCATGCTTCGGGTTGCATTACCAAGCACTTCTGCATATAAGGGAAAACAAGAGTCAAACTGTCTTCTTTCCACAGATGCGACATATTTAAGGCATTTTGAAATCACTTTCAAGTTCAGTTCAAGTTCTTATTCACTCCTAGGACAGCACAACATTATTCCCATTTCGCAGCTAATGCAAAATGCAAGTTGCTTTGCCACAGCTACAAACTAAGTAAAGTAATTGTAATAGACGGTTTCTTCCTCCCAACAGAAACATGTCGTTTTCCTTGCTTACTCTCACATCACTTCTACATTGTTTCCCTTCCACTGGGTTTACCTGAATTGTTATTAGCTGTAGCACTCATGGAGGTGAACACCCAGGCACAAACAACCCTGGTGCACAGAAGCTCAGTGTGATACCAGCACCTTCACTGCTCGGCCCATACTTTTAGTGTTACATTTTTCTTTCAACGCTGCAAGTGGAAAGCAGCAAGGAGTGCCAATTACGAAATGGATTTGTGCTACAGACAGATGGTCGCTGGCATGACTCTGATGTCATACTCTCCACTTCCAAAGTTAAAGGCTAATTCTCCAGAAATCCAACGCTGCCACATCGTAACAACTGCCAGGGTTGGGAATGATGTGGAGCAAACACTTCTCTCATTATCATGGACTGCGCTCTTTGCTGACCAGTTTTAAGCAAGCACCACAGATATGAAGGTAACCTCACATTCACTGCTGAACAGCAACAGCTGGTATGCCCCTGACTTTGAGCAACACTAGAACTCTCATGAGCCTCATGTGCTTATTTGCCTTCTAGCCAATAAACACTGCAAATATTTCTACAGCTTTCGTACATGTTTACTTACGTATTTCCAAGCACATTTTTAATACATTTGTTGCATCACATTTAGCAATAACTTGCAGGACCAAGACTGCACGTTTGTCATACAGAATTACCTACTCAGGTTCTGAAGAGGTGATCTCCAAGCTTCCTCATTCAAAACAGAGTTGTCAACATTATTTACCGTTGGCAACTGCGGCTTACATACAACGTGTGACTAGTTAAAGAAGCCCTTGTGTTTTGGTCAGCATTAACCACTGCTTTTAACATTGTGTGATTAAGATCTGCTCAGAACAAAACAGAACAACTGGCTACTGAGAGACACCCTTTGGATGAGGGTGCAAAGCTTTTAACGCCAGGTCCAGTGAATACAGGATGGTAGCAAAATAAAGCAGTAAAGGAGCCAGGGGAAAAAAAAAACTAACACAGGTGAAAATTATCTGCTACAGCATGCAATTAAAAATTTAAAATTTACAACACTCATAAAGAGACAAAAAAAAAATCTGAATCTCCTTCTGCCCCTTTTTCTTTCAAAATTATACCTTAATTTTGCACATTCCCATGTGCTTCCCTGTCTGAAGACGGTTCACTGTGCAGAAACTGAAAGTGGTAAGCACAGCTACTTTACATAAGCTGCTGCCCTACAACAGCAGTGATTAACTACAAATCATCTCCGACCATTCCGGTTGCTCCCTGTTTTCGTTCTGGAAGAGGAGGCCTGTGACAGTGCCAGGACACCATGTCACCTGTACAGGATGCTGCAGCCGCAGCAGTACGATCACCCAATACACTCCAAAAGCCGAACTGCATTAACCCCCGAGCAAGCAAGGCACGCATAGGGACAGGACCTTTAAACGCAAGTGGGAGGAGATGAAGGGCATGTCAGTTACAGTTCGGGGTCTCTTTCCACCAAGAGGGAGGGGACCTTTCAGACCCGACAGAAATACACCTCGATATCTGTGCTGTACCAGCCCATCACAGCGCGGTTGGAGTTGGACACCCAGGGTCGGTCAGAGTTGCTCTTCGGCTTCTCCCCAAGTCCCAGGGCGCAGCCGGGGGCAGTGCAGGGCCTGTCCCGTGTGTCTCCGGTGCCGCCGGCCGCTCCCGTCCCGCAGCGCAGGTGCGGCAGACGCGGGGAGCGCGGTCGCCCTCAGGCGCGGCTCCCCCCTCAGGCGCGGCTCCCCCCTCAGGCGCGGCTCCCCCCTCAGGCGCGGCTCCCCCCTCAGGCGCGGCTACCGCGCGCAGCCCCGCGCGCAGCCCCGCGCGCAGCCCCGCGCGCAGCCCCGCGCGCAGCCCCGCGCGCAGCCCCGCGCGCAGCCCCGCGCGCAGCCCCGCGCGCAGCCCGCACCTGTTGCCGCTGCGCCGCCCGCAGCCGCGCGCTGCCCGCAGCCCCTCGCGCCGCCCGGCTGACTCACGCGGGGGCGCACGACGCGCAGGGGGCGGTGCCAGCGCCGCGCGAACGCCGACGGGTGCCTGCCCAGGACAAAACAGGCAGAGACCGGAGCGACACGTGGTTGTGTGTCAGGAAATATTCGAGGCGCAAATAAAGAGCTTGGGGCCGGCCCATGCGGGATCGGTGACAGTGACAGCGCCCGCCTAGCCCTCCCTGCTCTGCAAACCCACCCGACACCGCTATTTAGCGGGGAGCGGGTCTGCGTCACAGCTGCCCCAGGCCCAACGTGGAGCAGCCAGGTGTGAATAGCTGTGCTGCCAGGTGTTTGTGCGAGCCATGCACACACACCTAGGTGTGCTTTTCTATAAACATAGATTGCACACAATACATTTAAATATGTACACATAAATAGACCAATACCTGTATATATGCAATATGTATATACACCTATGTGTGTATATACACACATGCTATATATATATATATATACACTTTTTCTTTTTTTTAATAACAACAATCAGCAAGTATGAGCATGCTTTCTTCATTTATCATCTCTGGCTACCTGTCAAAAGTTGGATTACTTGTCTTTGTGACAGTATTTCCATTCTATTACCCAACTTGCAAAGGCTGGGTGGTTTGGTTGCAACAAGACACAGGAATTGTTCCTGCCTTCCCAAGACATTTTCATTTTAAAGAAATAATTGTGCTAAAGCAAAAAGTGTTATTCTTGGACATCTAAACAGTGAAGCAAAGGGAAGATTTCATGTGATACATTCAAATGAAAACTGAAGGACCTAATAGGTCAGCATAAAAATACCACAGGACGATGTCTGCTCCCTCAGCCCTTGTCATTTTCCCCGTGTGGGTTGGGTGTTAGTCCTAGGAAGCTGCACAGTGAGTCCTGCTCATGCAGGACCGTAAGAAGGGGATTTTTGGCCATCCACATCCAGAGTAAATCCACTGTGCATTCCCTGCTCTACAGTGGGCAGGATTGATCACTTTGCTCTGGTTATTCTGACATATGGACGAGACCATCAGCTACAGCTCATTGCATCCCTTGGATGCATAATCCAGCAGGGACAGACAGGTCCCCATGCTGATGGAAATGCCAAAGCAAGGGCAGTCAATGTACAGCTCCTGCAGAAAGCACAGCTCAGCCACAGTGCTCAGAAAGCTCACCCAAGACCCCAGAAGCTGAAGTCTGAAGCCTAGAACTGCTACAGGCAGGGAGGGAAGTCAAGGTCTGCTCCTGTGTGAAACCTATCCCTTCATTATCCAACTCACTACACTGAGAGTTGCTTAACTGAAAGAAATGTGTACAAGCAGAAAGTTTGGATTTATTAATTCTCCATCTGCAGGTATGAAAAATGTTGGCTGTTTTTGGAGGGCATGTACCAAAGGAATTGAAATCAATGGAACTACTCCAGAGGTGCATTTGGACTTTCAGAAATCACAAGACTCTTTGAGGCAGAGACCTCATGCGAGTCATATGAGCTGTTATTACAGACACAGAGGGATGAGGAGGAACAAGAAGGAAAAAAGAGATACAGTTTAATTAAACAGGACAACATGGGAGACATGCTGTGTGTAAGTGCTGTCAGACCAGGATGCAGCAGCTGCTGTTCAGAGAGAAGGAGCTCCCAACAAATCCAAGGCCTTCAGCACATGGAAGCAGTGACTACAGCAGAGGTATTTATGCCATATTTTCATACTTCTGCATTGAGATAGGGTAAGCCTGGGTGCTTCCACTTGTGGGAGTGCAAAGCTGTCACATTTGCTTTTAACCAGACAGCATCAAACTTTGCAGCTTCAGGCTTGTGAAGCTACTGAAAGAGGAATCTACCTTAGATGACAATAAGTGCCTTTGATGTGATGAGCAGGGAGAGAAGATTGCACTCCAGCAAGTTCTATGCCAATGAGAGATTGTACAACAGGGAGGCAGCCAACAACCTACAGTTCTGGAGGAGGCAGCATGCCACAGATTGCAAATCCTGTGTTGACAAATTATAATCCATTCAATAGAGCTGCTTGGGAGAGCTTGAAGCCTTCTTGCCATTCACTGCTACCTTTTTATGGTTGAGTAGTGTACAGCACTGTTATGCTGTGTGGGCCAAATTAACAGGCTGTGTAAATTATACAGTGGTGAGGAAGGAGGTGAGGGGTGAGGGATTAAGGGGGAGGAGAATACATAAATGTAAACTTCCTGAAATTTCACTCCTGCGTTTGAGTTTTGGTCCCTGCCCTAACAGGTTATTTAGAGATGAATTAATGCAGGGTGAGGGGGAATAACATGCATTTAGCATGATGCTGGCAGAAGTACCCTCTGCAGTTAAGGCAGCTTTATCTTTGTGTGTTCTGAGTGGGTGCTACCATCTACCAACACAGGAACACACAGACAGTTGCTCCCCTTACAGCCAGTACCGGAGATCTATGACTGATAGAGAGAGAGATGAAAATGATGTGCATTGCTCAAAGTCACTGCAGTCAAGGAGAAAGAAAAGAAACTCATCAGTAGAATGGAGCTTGCCAGTGACACAGTTTTGTCCCCTTTTCCTATGCCAGCTGTTAGATGTAACCAGAGCATCCCTTTCTCTACCTCCTCTGCAGCCCCTGCAGCTCCACAGCCTCCAGAGCTGGAGGTACAGCACACAGGGACCTTGGAGTTACACTGATTCTTTCCAGGAGCAGGATGTTGTGGAGGGGTTCAAATGGGTGGGGTGCAGCATCCACAGAGCCAGAAAGGAGATATTTTGTCCAATGGTTATTCCAGCCATTAATCAGTCCTTAATTACTGAATGACCTGCTGGTAGCTTCTTGTTGTACCCAGCAATCTAAAACACATACCAATTTCTTCATGAAGCAGAGACAAGGCATCCCATTTGGAGCTGCCACATCCTATATACATCTAGAGAAGCTGTGTGAAGGATCCTGTGCAACTGTGTACAAGGGGATCAGCAGGTGAGCAATACTGCCTTCCCAGTGCTTGCTGAAAACACCTCCTATGGCAGACAAAGGCAAATCAAAAGTCTAGTTTTGCCTTTAACATGATATTTGCAAAGCCTCATCCCCATTTTCAGGAACTCCTCCACTGCAGCCATGGAGGCATCAAAAAGACTCTTTGATCCATAGCATTGTGCCAGGAGATTGTCTGGCTGAACCAGGGAGGGAGTAAAGGTTTTCCTTGAAGTGAGTGATCTCTGCATAGTTGAAAAATTGGGCATGAGTTCATGCTGGCATCACAGAGGGACAGGAAAGCTGTGAGAAGGTGGAGTGGGGCCACTGCTCAAAGCCATGCTCTAGCAATACCTGGACAACAGCACAGTGCTCCTTTAGCCAGGTGGGCTGGCTCTCAGCTCACTGCTAAGGAACACAGGGTGGAGGAGGTCTGTAATTACCTTCGAGTTTGGCCTGGGTGGGTCAGCAAGCCCCAGAAATTTTGCTTGGGTGTTTGCTTGGGAGGTGGTTAGTGTTATCATGCCAAGCACTGAGAAGCTTCATGTGACTTTCAACTATGACCTGCCAGGATCAACAGCCAGGTGGTGGCACTGAAAGTGATCAAGCTGGAGGCAGAGGAGGGAGTGCCCTTTACAGCCATTCGGGAAGGTAAGACATAGAGGAACATCACTCTTGAAGAGCATTTGTTTTAACCTGGAAAAGCTGCATGATGTCTCCCTCAGTCCTTTCTTGCTTATTCAATGTGCCAGCTGTCCTTCTCCCAAAACTCTCAGTTTCCTTATCCTCTCATGGAGGATGTCTTCATGCTGGGCTGGACAGGCATGCAAAGGACAGAGAAGGAATCTCTAGTGTATGCACTTGTGAGAGATGCACCCATGCCTGTGATAAGCAAAGTGCCAGCTGCAGCCAGAGCATATTCTTTCTAGCAGTGTCAGGGCCCCCTTGCACCTTCTGCTTGCTGCCTCCTTCACAGCTGCTTTCTCTCTCCCTCTAGAAACTACACAGCCTTTGCCACTGCTGCACTGAGCAGTTGTAGACTTGTTACTACTGCCATAACATTTTCCTAGCCAATTCCTGGAGCATCACAGATCCCAGACTGAAGAGAGATACTTTCAATAAAACTGATGTGTAATAACATCTGTTATTTCAGTCCAATGAGAAATTCTTCTTATCAGTCAACTTTGTAGAGCACTGGGCAGATTTCTCAATTTCTTGGAGAAAGAAATGCTTTTGTGCAAGTACTTGATTTTGGCTGAAAGTATTTACATTTCCCTACAGAATAAGTTCACAAGCCTGCTTGACTGAGACTTCTATTTTCATCTGCTGTACAATCCCAAGAACACCATAATCTGTTTTCTTCCATGCACAGAAATATGCAACTTTGTGCCAGTCTGTTTTATGGTATTAGTGAAAGCTATCCATGTAGGATGACACACATGAAGGTTTTTTCATTTCTTACTGCACTTGTGAAACTAGGGTTAATCTTGTGACAGGGATGAAGAGTCAGGGACCAGAAGTGCCAGCTTTCACAGAGCAGCACCAGCACAGGAGGACTCTCATAGCAGTCAACTCAGAATAATGAGAGAGGTTACTGAATCCACTCCAGGTTTATAACTGTAATTAAGACAAGAAAGTCCTTAGTCCAATTCTGTGTGAAAGCAGAGACACACCTAAATATGCTTATTTAAAAAATGGCTTGTGTTACGTTTCCTCATTTGCTGTGGTGCTTTTGCTCTGCATTTACACTTGTAGCCCACCAGTAAAATAAACCTTAAAAGCTTTATCTGCATTGAACTAATGATGCACCAAAGATCAGCACCCCTTTAACATGCTCTACTGGACAGGCTGAGAGCCTTAACTTCATTCATTATGAGAGGAAACAAGGGTGATCCTGTGAAGGGTCTGCTTTAAGTAGGTCTTTTGTGCGCTGCTGAGCTTTGCAGCATCTGACACCTCAAATTTACAATGTAAGTCAGTAGCAAAAACAAAGCACAAGATTTATTAAGGCGGCGCATTCTCTGCTACCCTGGAGGAATGTGCTCCCCTGTCAAAGAGACGCTTCACCCCAGGAAGCCCCGCAGAGACAAAATGCGTTTAAAGCTCGGTTCTGGCAGTAGCACCTGACACCCCAGCAGGGGGTTGTAGAAGCAACAAAGTGAGGAGCAGTTCCCAGAAGCCTGATTGAGGCACAGGCGCTGAATCCTCCATTTTACTGTGGACTCTCTGTGCTGCCCCTCTGGAGCAATAACTCCGGTCATATGGAATTTTTGAGGTATCACAGAGTCAGATTATCATGTTCTGTAGCAGATGGCTCTAGCTAGAGTCTTTTTACTAGATTCATAGGCAAGTGTGAAGCATGTTTAAGGTCCATACTGCTATGCACTGGGAACATACTGGTGGTAGCTAAATGGACTAATATCAGTGGCAGAGGCAGTTTAGCTGCAGCAACACCAAGCTCTGTGCAAGAACTACTTTGCAATCCAGTAGTGGTGCTGAATCAGGCATCCCTTACTGCTCAGTAGTCTCAGCAGTGACACAGGCTTGGGCCACAGCTGTGTCACACAGTGTAACTCTGGCAGTAGGGCTTTTAGAACCAGGTGAGATTGTTACAGTCACAAAAGTCAAAGTGCTAATCCAGTATAAATTTGTTTTGCCTGCATGAAACTCTTCAAATATCTCATCTTGTGTGAAAAACAAAAAAGCAGCTTTTAATTGTGACCAAAACTATGCCTCCCACAGCTGGCCCATGCTCTGTATTGTGTGCTTCAGCTAATTCAGCTGAAACAAGATTGTATGCCGTGCCTTATTTGAATGAAATTTGTAGCACTGCGTGGTCTGACAGCAAACTAATTTGGTTTTAATCAGCAGCAAAAAGTGGGTCTGGAATAGCTCTGAGGCTATTCTGCTATGTCAGAAGCAGAACTAAAATCTCAAGTCAGGGACATCTGCTTTTTCGGGGCTTTGGGGCTTCTCTCTGTGTAGTTTGTGTTCCCTGTCTGTGAACATCTGGGTCAGATTATTCAGTTGTGCCAGTGACCTACAGGCAAAGTAACCCCAGCTTCACCTCTTCCCCACATTCCTCCTCTGTACAGTTACTGCTATATTGTCTCACCCCTAAGGTAGCAAATGATTAAGCTGTGCACCCTGAGAAGCTGAGTTTCTGCTGAGAAGCTCCTTTCATACGTGTTCTGCCTGGAGCCTGCTCTAACATAGCAAGCCCAATGCACAGCCATAAGGCCCAGAAGGCTGCAGCTCCTGCCTTAGCACAAGTCTCTGTGGTCTATACGGGGCCAGAGAGTCTTCCAAGTGCTGCCCCCTGCACCACCACACCCTGGATGTGACAAGGCTTGGCAAAGGCATGTCAGGACCTAAGGACCAGGGACACACAGTTGCAATGATGCTTTTGATAGTTAGGCTGAAAGAAAAGTGTGCCTAAGTTTTATAAATACATACAAGTTACTATTTAATCAGTAACTTCATTCTGCTGCATTCTGGCTCTGGGAACTCCCAGGTCCTCCCTCTCAGCATTTGCCTTGAAAAAATTACATCTCCTCAACTTATAAACTGACACATGGGAACTGTTACCTGCTCTTTCTGACAGAGGCAAGATCCCACCTCTGAGAGATGGATGGGCTTCTGCCAAGCCTGGAGCACTGATGCTTGCTTCTCTGCAGAGCTGTTCCATCCTCCTTCAGGCTCAGTAGCTGCCACTTATTACAGAACTGCCAAGTCTGGACTATTGCTCCCCAGTTTTTTTATTTTCGCTGCCTTGTTTTGTGCACAATCTCCTTCCACTTCCAGCAGCAGTAAAGTTGATCTTCCTTTTGTGTTTTCCCAGCTTCTCTTCTCAAGTGTTTGAAACATGCCAACATTGTACTGCTTCATGACATTATCCAGACGAAGGAGACACTAACATTTGTCTTTGAGTACATGGTGAGTTCATGTTTTTCTAGCTTCCTGTGGAGCTAGTACTGGGAAGTATTGGGAAGTGGCTGCAGAATGAATTTACTGCTCTATGAGACATCTACAAAGAAACAAGTTGTAATGCTGTAGTGCAATGATTGATTTTCCTTCTTGATCTCCTGCTTTCCAGCCACACAGCCTTACTCTTTTCTTTCTGCATATGCGACAGCTGTATGCAAAAATAATTCCATGTCTTGTGTCCACTGGGGTGACAGACATTATTTACCTCCATTTCTGCCTTGCTAACACAATAAAAGTACTGTTTTTCAGCCACAGCAAGGATAGGAAATAATGATATGAGCTCACATCCCAGCTGGGGTCAGATTTGGCACTGACCCCTGTGGCTTACCATGACCAAGCTGTGGATTGCTCTCATGGGGAGACCAGGATACCAATAAAATTCTCCACTTGAATCTTGCTACTTCTCCTGCTTTTGCAGATAGTCGAACAAATGATAAAGAAAATACAGAGGCTATGTCTTCTTATTGCAGCTTTATGGTTAGTTCTGGCACAAGTATGAATTCTGTTAACCAGCAGCTTCAGGTCACAAGTGCTGGGTGAGATAACAGGTCAGCCAGGTCCCTGGTGTGGCCCAGAACTTAAGCACATGCTTGTGGGCTGCATCAGACCAGATGTTCACCCACGTGAAATAGGCAGCTTTCTAGCAGTTGCATATTTTTCCTTTTACAGAAGAGTCATTGTTGGTAGAGGCATTTTACAGCAGAAGCTTTGCCTCAAGTTTTTCTCTTTTATTTAGCACACAGATCTAGCACAGTACATGGGCCAGCATCCTGGAGGACTCCATTCATGCAATGTTATGGTGAGTTCCTTAGAAGACTTGTATCCCTTAAGGCATGAGGAAGAGTTATTTTCCACTATGTATGGTCACTGTAAATTACTTACTAATATTTGTTACCTGTATGGCAAAAACTTGGGAGAAAATCTACCTTTGATGATATAACAAGCTCCCTCTCAGTCTCCAAACCTTTTTTCAGTTAGCTCCTCTTCCTATTTTCTGAGCCAACAAGCAGGCATTCAGCTTTTGAGAACAACGACATCTTGTGGCAAAGAAACCTCTCTCTACACAATTTTTTGTCCTTTTATCGTTACAACACATAATTAATCTCTCTAATTAAAAACTCTCACATCTCACTCTCTTCTCATTTGGAAATATCTTCATATTTGCAGTCATTTAAGTCCCTTTTGTATCTCCCATACCTTTTGTGATTGACTGGATCTGAACACAGCCAAACATGTACCCTTACTTTATAGACTGATGTTATAATAGTATCCTGCTCTCCCTTGTATGCATCTTCACATTTAATTAACTTTCAGGACTGCTGCTGCATGCTGGCTTAAGGTTTCAGTGCAGATGTCCTCAGTGAATGCCTGGGCCCTTTTCCTGAGCAGCTTCAGTTAATTTATCTTACAGCTGTCAACAATAACTTTGTATCTTATCAAACTGCCTATTCATCTGGCTTTGTCAGATCTCTCTGAAGTTCCTCACTGTCACTTGTTATCACAACTAATCTAAATACTTCTGTCATCTTCAAATGTTGCCACATTGTTCACATCTTTTTCCAGATAGTTGTTAAGCAACACCAATTCTGATGAAGTTTTTTGGGGCCTCAGATTTTAAACATCCTTAAAGCTCAGCTACATCTGAGATGCAGTGTAGTAGTTTTGGCACAGTTCTCAAGGGTTCTGCTACCAGACATGCTCATAAAGCACATGGAGCACATGGCTGTAATATGTACTCCCTGGCATTTCTGTGAATAAACACTAGCCAGCTGCTCTGCTTTCCTGTCCGGAATACTCACTGTCAGCAGGAACTGAACTGCAAATTATTTACTGCTCCTTCAGGAGGGTCATCTAGCTTGCTTCATTTTTGCTGGCAAATGCAGTTTGTTTTTTCTGAGTGATTCCTATGGAATATAAGTATGCAGTATGTTACAGGGACAATTGTCTGGTACAAAAATGACCTATGGGTGTCACTGTTTTTCCTCCTCTTCAGGTTAAACCTCTGGTGAAAAATATCTTTTCTCTGGTGAAGTCTTACTACTTTTGCTTTCTATCCACTGTTAAACTTCATACCTTGTTTCAGCCCAACTTATTTTACCCCAGGCTTATTTAGACTACCATAATGGTGGGGGTTAGATATTTATTTCTTGGCTTCCTTTCTTCCTTGGTTTCCTTCTTCCTTGCTTGCTTTGTTCATCATATCTGATTTGCTGTATTTTTAAAATCAGGTCCTCATGTTATCTCCCAGCTTGAAGCCAACAGTTCCCGTTGCCAGGTCAGTCAGTTCCCTGCTCCACTGCTGGCATGTGCAGTGGCCATGGAACCAGTCAGCTGGTACCATGTGGCTCAAGGGGGCAAACCTTCAGCTCCTTAGGTTTTCATTTTGTTTGGCTGTGTGTCTTTGTGTCTTTGTCTTGAGCACTGCAACCAGCACAGCTGCTGTTCTGAAAGCTGGGGTCCGTGTTTTGGCAAGCTGACCTCGCTCCTGCAATCAACAGTCCATTTCTAAAGAAAAGTTAAATTTCCAAAATGAGCATTTATGGACCGCAGTTAAACTGCCCTCCTGGCCAAATATTCCACCCTGAAAACCTCAGAAAGCTGTAGGGCAGTCATAACCCACCACAATTTTCTCCTCCTCAGCCAGCTCTACTCATTTTGGGATTTTTACTGGTTTCTTACTTGCTTTTTCTCTGCTTTGTTCCAGGGTTCTCCTAAAGTTCAGAGTTAATCTATCAATGCAAAGTCACACAAAATCATTTCAGTTTTTTTGTTGGCTTTTTCCAGCTCTTCATGTTCCAGCTTTTGCGTGGCCTGGCTTACATCCACCAACAACACATTCTTCACCGAGATCTGAAACCCCAGAACTTGCTCATCAGTTGCCTCGGTGAGCTCAAATTAGCCGACTTTGGTGAGTCACAGTTTGGATACAGCTGTATATCTGCTCAGACCAAAGCTGTAGCATGCATATAGATCTGTATCCACAGCCAATTAAGGCAGAGAAACATAACCTTTGCTTGAACTTCAGGAAACTATTTCTGTGGTCAGTCCAGCTTTTCTTGTATTTATACTGATAGGTGCAGGGATTAAACTCATTTAAGTCAGAGCAATTACTGCCATGTAAAACTCGTTCAAGAAAACAAAGAATCAGCCCCTCTCTGTTCAGAAAATAATGTAATGTGTGGAGTCCACAGCAATGTGTGACCCAAAAAGCTTTCTTGGCATTGGTTTGGGATAGCTGCTTCAGTCTCAAATGATAAAGCCCTGCAAAACACAGCCTATTACTTGATTTGTTCTGCCCCAGAGGTATATTCAAGAAACACTTTCTTTGTCAATTGCTTGTAAGCTGCATTGAGATTACTTGTGTTTAAAGAGAAAATGATGTCCTGTTTCCAATTATTATCATCTATGCACTCTACAGGTAGAAGGACTGTCCTAACACATTTTTTGTTGGTTTGTTGGGGATTTTTTTGCAGGCCTTGCTCGTGCCCAGTCCATCCCCAGACAGACATACTCCTCTGAAGTTGTGACACTCTGGTACCGTCCTCCTGATGTGTTGCTTGGAGCTACAGCTTATTCTTCTGATATAGATATTTGGTACTGACCAATATCAAAGCTCTGGGGTTCCCTAGGAAAAAATATTTTTATCTGAATTAAATTAAATCAGCCAAAGTTACACTAGTTACGGTTGTAAGTAGAGGAATTAACACTTCTGAGCAGTAAATTTGTGAGCAGTGTGGAGTTTTGTAGAAGTTTCATAGAGGGTTCATAGAAGTTTTTAGGAATTATGTCACTACATCTCAGCTATGGATTGATACAAACCTCATCTGATAATATTTATGAGAGATATGCATCTTGTCTGGTAACATGTATGGAGCATTTTTGTGTCTTGCAACAGAACATTTTGCTCAATACAAGTGTATCTATGGAGTCAGCTGAGCCAGTAGTAACTCTCTGCAGAAATGGCTTTGTGTGAAAACAATGGATCAAAAACTGCACCATCAATTACTTAGGCCTTGGTAACAGAATGTGGCATTAAAGGGTTTCTCAATGAGTCTGGAGATAGAAAGGTGTCTGAGATTTTAATTATTTCTGTGATACTGTGTCCTTCTTCTCAAAGACCATGTCTCAGATGCAGTCTGTATTTCACTCAGGAAAAGGGCTGTGTCTGTTAAAGCCTTGTTTCCTTATGAGCTCTACCCAAAAATCTTGATGTGTTTGGGAATCAAAAGGAAACAAGCTGCACATTCATAGATGGGAGAGGAGTCTCTGAGAGTGGGCAGAAAATAGCAGGATGAAGGCTTTGCAGGGTCCCAGTGGTCTTTTGGACTGCCTTGGATGGTAGCTGGGCTAACTGTAAGGTTCATCAACCTTCTGGCTTACTTCTGCACCACCTGAGCCGACTTCCAACAACACAGTCCTGACATGCTCATGGGCAGCATGCAACTCATGAAGTTGCAGGAGACCTTCCTTATTCTGGCAATTTTACATCTGTAGATGGTATTGCTTCTTCATCCTTTCTTCAGACAGTTAATCTTCTGCTTGTACCTGTCCCACCAGGACTTACTCTTAACTACTGCAGAGTCAAAGGCTGGGAAAGGGTAGGAGTGCAGCAGGCTGAAGAATGTGCAAGATGGCTGGCTAAGTTTACAAACAGCAAAGCTCCAGGTCTTCACAGGCTGTATCTCCCTCCAGAGGTCTGCAGCTTATCAGACACTCCAGTGACCCAAGTCTGGAGGGTAGGTCAGGGAAACGGAAGTTTTTAGATTGTTTACTTTCCTAGGACTGCTGCTAATTTAATTATTTAAAGACTTCTCTAAGGAGGAAAACCTTGCTAAATTCTAATGGCTTCCAGCTGCTAAGCCAGTCTAAATAGTCCTGTCTACTACCCCCACTACCTGTCATTTTTCCCTCCAGACAGTCTCTCAGAAATGTCTGCTAAGTTTGAAGAACATGTCTGCCTAGCAGATTAGAGGGCTTGTGTCAGGCATAAGCCTGTTGGTTTTTTTCCCTGAAAGCTGACCCCTGTCCAAAGGCAGCTATGCACAGAAAACATGTCATTTCTGCCTATGCAAAACCAACATCCTCACTGCATAACTGTGCTCTGGTGTAATGAATAGCAACGTAGGAGTGGTGTACAAAGATCCCAGCCCTAGCAGCACAGTGCTCTCCATCTCACTGAGCTACATCCACACTATGGGCACCTTTGTTATAACGCCTCCTTATAATAACAACATTCCAAGTGTTTGCCCTGAAGAAAGATGTCACGCTGAGAGAATAGAGAGTACTTCAGTGAGCTCTATTCAGTAACTTCCTCTAACAAGAGTCATTTATTATCTTGATGTACACTGCATTTAAGTTCAATTTTTGTCTATTAGGAAATAATGTGAATTCACACAGATGTTACTTGTCTATTGGGAAGAAAGGAAAAAAACCCTATGTCCTTTGGATGCTGCAATTTACATGAAGGCAGGTCAGAATGCCCTTGGTAATGGCATGAGACAGTGGGTGTCAAAGCCTTGGTTTAAAGAAACCAATTATAACAAAATAAAACATTATTGCAATTCATGCATAGTGTGCTTGAGCAGCAATACTGTCAGTGGGAGGCACATGGGAAGTGAATGAGGCCTTGAATAGATGAAGAAAGAGATATAGAGGGAGACTTGGTCGCTCTTGCACTAACTAGAAAAGCTGCTTTAATCTCTCTGTATCTCTTTTCTCTTTCTTTCTCCCTCACTATCTCTTCAGGACTTTAGAAGATTCAATTAAGGGATTTCAGGGAGATTACACTGCATATCAGAAGGACTTTTCTTTCTTTTGTTGAAAAACACCAAGTGCTTTATATACAGCCACATTAATGGCTGCAAACATCATGAGTGCCTTAAAATGTCTTTTCAGTCAGTCTTTCCTTGTATAATCTTCCATTAAAAAAAAAAAGGGAGAAAAAAAAAATCACAGTGGTCTTCCCTGGTAGATTCATGTAGAATAGGAGTTTACATGCAGTCATTTAACATGGACCTGCCAGGCTCACTACAGCTTTCTCCTCAGCCTGGTTCACAGTGCCCCACTATGGCAAACTGGGAGATATTGGCTAAGGGCTCCACTGTACAGAGCAGGCTTGGTGATGAACAAGAGGAACAATATATTTCTGGTTGAATATAAAATTGCCATCTCCTAGTGCCAACAAAAACTCCCAAACATGGAGGGGGAGCTGTGGGATGCCGTAGAGATATCTTAAATCTTAATCCTGATGAGCACCTTTCCGCTGTGTGATGCAGCACTGCAGACTGAGGGCAAAGTGCAGTGTTCAGACCTTCCCCGGGGATTGCAGGTGGATACAACTGTATTGTCTGAATCAGCTCTGCTTATGCTCCCTGAATATCTCTGTAACTTCTCCTACTATTTTAACTGTCACTGTTTTGATTCATGAGCATATCTGGCACTTGCTAAAATATCATGTCTAGGCCTCTTCCCAAAAGACCCCTCCCTTGCCCTATCTCTTCCCAAGGCAGTTTTATAGAACTGAGACCCTCTTAAAAACTTATAGACTGGAAGGAGTAAGAAGACTTGAGAAATTAATATTAGAGGAGAAAGAAGGAAAAGGGGAAAGCAAAACAACCCCAGGTCTAAGTATTTAGAAACATTTAAAATTAAATGCTTTTGAATCATCCTCATTATCAGAAGGATCCTCATAATGCCATCAGAGCTGTAACTGTCACTCTCAGAGGGAAAGCTGAGGCCTCTACTGCAAGGCAAATATGAGTACCATTACTTTCCAAAGTTCCTGCTCTTGCCAGTCTAATGGCCCTTTCTAGCTAGGATATCAGAATGCAAACTGTGGTAGAACATCAGCATCACTTGTTCCAAAAACACAGACAGTTGTTTCTCTTCCCCCTCCAAATCAAGAGTACCCAAATTGCTTTGACCATGCACAGTTGAACTTGTGCAATGCAATCGGCTGATTACAGCAGCCCCTGGGGTTGCAAAATAGGGTGAGCCACTTGGACACATCCATCAGCTGTGAAAACAGTCTTGGTATGCCACTGGGCTCAGTAGAATCTATCTGTGGGCTCCAAAGTAATGTCTAATCATGTGGTAGCTGTGAAACACCAGGAAAATTCTTTGTTGCAAAAGCTGTGGATTTAAGTTTCATGATGCCTGGACTCTGTAAGAGGATATTAGACAAGCAAAGAAGCTCATGTCACAAGTCTTGCCAAGGTTAGAGCACAGGAAGCTAAGGGAAAATGCAGCAGAGATGTTTATGAAAACAGTGTTAGATATGGATCTGCAAACAGGCTTGGCACCACCTGGTGTGCAAGGATGACCAAAATAAATACCGCAGATGAATTCTGTGCCAGGGTTTCAACTGACCACAGCCAGGTGGGAAAAGCAACTACAGTATTGCAAAAACAAGGTGCAAAGGGTAACACAGGAGTACAGGCGACCAGAACAGATTAGCAGTTATTGCTAAGCAAGTGAAAATAATACTTTCAGAGCTTGTAAGACAAAGCTGGGTTGTCAAGAGTTGAGCCTAAAGGACTCAAATATGATATAACCAAAGAAGAATGAGACTGAAACCCGAAGAGTTCAATGGAGCTTAGTGAAAAGACAGAAAACGTAGAAAAAAATTGAAGGAAATTATTAAGAAGTAAATGAGTGCAGTTTTACACCATATAGTAAGTGATGAGAATAGTTGCAAATAGGCAATTCTACCTTGATCACAACTATTTCATCTTTAATGCCATGAGGACTAATCCACCTTAGCAAAACGAAGCAATTTGGCAGGTGTTGGGTTTTTTTTAAGCTGTCTAGTTTGTTTTAGAGCAAGTGTAGAGCAGGGGATGACATAAAAATAAGAATATTTTAACTTGCTGTTATGACCAGGTTTTTTTTTGCTATGAAATCTTACCTTCAGCTTTCCAATGAAGAGCTAATTGCTTCTGAAGGAAAATGGCTATAGTAGTGAGTGCCTCTCAGTTCTTTCTGCATCTAATATATCCTTCAAGCCCATTAAATGTGTAGTACCTCCCTGTTTATCTTTCCTACTGTAAGTATTCCAATTTTGTACCCTTTTCTCATGGAAAGTCCATGCACAGGCTTCTGCCATGATCCTTTTTTCACATAGTTTGTAACAGGATTAATGGACAGAGACCTGAAACCATTTTTTGGTACTGGAAAAGAAAGATAGTGCTTAGTGGGCTTCTTTTCCAAGGATATCACCTGTCTTGTCTTGATGGTGAAAAGTGAATTTTTTTTTTTTTTTTTAGTGGGTGGTGCTGATGAGAAAAAGGAGATGGAAACAGACATGTATGGAACCTTGACCCCTTTGGGTTTTGAAATCCTGGAGGCATGTGAATGTAACTTATCTTTGGTCTGCTCCCTTCCTGTTTCTCTTGTGCACTTGTATCAAGATTTCTGCATTTACAAATCAGAATTCCTAAATTTCCATTCCAACAATTATCTCTGCCTCTCTCCCCGCCCATCCTAACAATCATAATATATATATCATTTATGTGAATGAGTTAATACCTTGGGTTTCTTGCAGGAGTGCAGGCTGTATATTTGTGGAAATGATCCAGGGTCAGCCAATATTTGCAGCAACTTCTGGTACTCATGAACAACTGGAGAAGATCTGGGCGGTGAGTAAAATACACTCTGAAATGGAAGAGAAAAGGAATCCATTGCTCCAGCCTAGTTAATTTTGAAGTCCTAAGCATAGATCCTGTGAATAGCAGAAATAATTTTGTCTAATCTGCCAAATTCATAGCAGACTTTGTAACCCATTTTATATTTGTCAACTTTCTTACAGACTCAGGAGTAAATCAAATTACTTCCTTTTGATGTTTGTCATCTCATCAAAAATTTAAAGCCAATTAAAGTGACATCAAATTGGAAAAGGCATAAAAGGTGTGCAGGTACTGCAAATTCTGTTGCTTCTTTTTAAATCCTTTACTTACTGTAGGATACAGCACACCACATTCTCTAATACTGCTCCAGAATTACTTTGAAAATAGCAAGACCCTGAGGTTTGTCAGAGATCCTTCTTCATTTTAACTTGGCACATTTTGTATCGTCCAGTTCATGGTATGGCTCTAGAGACCGATTTGGCATAATGGAAAGCGTGAAATGACTTTATAAAGGTAGCAGTGAGTGAGAGCAACGTATTTGGGACCTTCCTAAGTTGTTTTCCCTGCTGGGGAAGCAGCAACACAGAGGCACGTTCCGAGGGCAGGTGGCAGAACTGAGGCAGTCAGCAGCACTGACAGGTTCTGTGCACTCCTGGCCACTCGTGCTGGCCCTTTTACTGACTCAACAGCGAGGTCATCCTAAGCATTCATCTTAGGTCTTGCTGTAGCTATCACTTGGTCTGCTCAGCCTGGACAAGAGGAGTCTGAGGGGAGACCTCACTGCAGTCACAACTTCCCTGTGAGGGGAAGAGGAGGGGCAGGCACTGATGTCTGCTCTGTAGTGACCAGTGACAGGACCAGAGGGAATGGCCTGGAGTTATGTCAGGGGAGGTTTAGGTTGGATGTTACAAAAAGGCTCTTCACCCAGAGGGTGGCTGGGCACTGGAACAGGCTCTCCAGGGAAGTGGCTGCAGCCAAGACTGCCAGAGCTCAAGAAGTTTTTGGACCACACTGTCAAGCACACAATGGAATTCTTGAGGTGTCCTGTGCAGGGCCAGGAATTAGACTCAATGATCATTGTGTTTCTGAAACATGGGTTTTTAAAGGAGAAAGTACAGAAAAAATAAAATTCATTAAAATAATGAGAAATTACTTCATAGCCATTAGACTGCATAAGTCAGATTTTTAGACTTGAGTTCAGTCCATTTAAATAAATGCTGAATTTCTCTTTCATAGAGAGTGGGGGGGAAAAAGAATTATTGGAGGGGGGGGAAATCCATACTTGGCCAGCTAACAAGGTTCAAAGCCAGGGCAGGGTCCAGCTTCTCAGAGTGTGAATGAAGGCTATCCTTACACTTATGTCTCTGAAATCTCTGGATACATTTCCTGTGGGTTTGCATTAGAGGATTATAGCATTATCGTAATTTCTCTGGTATTATAACTAATACCATGATTAACAGGATTTGTGCCACAGAAGGCAAAAAAACCCCTTATTTAAAAGTCCTGAGGAAGTTTAAAGAGCTATGAAATAATTAGTGCTTTTCACAGGAGGTTTTATGATATTATACAGCCTGGAATGAGGCTCTGTGTTAGACCAAGATTTCAAAGCTCCTTAGAGGCTTTCGATGTCTAGCATGAGAAATTTTGCTGAGTGTGAGGTTCAGAATGGAGATTCCTACTGTTTTCTCATAGTCAGCTCCTTTCATGTACTACTAGTAGAGGCACCCTGCACTGGTAGAGAGACCATCTGCATTTATGTGCATGAGTCTCTATCACCCAGTATGCTCATCTCCATGTGGGACTGTTGGTTTACACACCATATAGATACATGGTTGGAAAATCCCCATTCTGTGAAATGTGTTTGTCCTGTTGAATCATCAGGACTGACTGGCTGTCATTTTACCAAAAATTGTTCTAGAGGCAAGTGCCACCTAAAGCAGTCTCCATCTCCCATCTCTATCCCTGGCTGCTCATTGCTGGTCTGTGTCACCTCTCACTTGTGGGGCTACATGAACTGGGGACCCTGCAACTTTGTTTCCTGCCTGGCTTACTCTAAATGAGAACAGCTTCTTTGCCCTTCTCATCCTCTGGCTGCACAAACAGTAGCCCTAATGAGCACTGGTACTCATGAAGGCATGGCCCAGGAGCAGGGCCAAACGTGAAGAGAAGGCTGGCAGTGTTGGTTATGGAAGTGTGGCATGAGTGAACAGGAACTCCAGCATCTCCAGTTTGCTCATGGCATGGAGAGCAAGCAAACCTGACCAACTCAAGATTCATTACTCAAATTTTAAGAGGCTGGGCATAGGATTTGCATGCAAAAGCTCCATCTTATTGATTAACATCATGCTGAGCTGGACTTCATGAGGGCTGGATTAGGCTACAGAATGGCACCAGGGTGCTTCTGCTGCTGAGCCAAACATTGTGCCAAATGAATGACTACAAGGCTCCTCAACACAAAACATACAATAAGACTTCCCAACAAAATTAAACAAAATCAGCTAGGTTGATTCCTTCAGCTAAGTCATCACAAGAGAAGCAAGCAGTTAGAGGGCAGAGAGAAAGAATAATGATTTACACCATCTTAAAGCTCTTGCTGAAATACAAGCACTGTAAAAATGTTTCTGGCTGAAACTGTTTCTTCCCCAGTGGTCTGAACTGACCTGCACCAAGACCTTTCACTATAAAGTGTAGAGAAGTTGTTTTGTTTTTTCTGATGACATGGACAAGAGAGTTAACATCTAGATTTAGGGTGGATACACAACAGGTAAAACAATTGTCAGAGTATAATTAATTTCAAATAAATAACTGTAACACATTGTCTGATTTGGTAAGGAATCTCACTAAAGGTCCAGGGTGGGAAAAAAGAGAAGAGAAGAGAAGAGAAGAGAAGAGAAGAGAAGAGAAGAGAAGAGAAGAGAAGAGAAGAGAAGAGAAGAGAAGAGAAGAGAAGAGAAATCATTTGCCCCATTTGTTTTCCATTGGAAAACAAAAAGAGATGCAAGTTTACAGGTTGGAAAAGTATCTTTTGTAATTAAAAGGATCAGAAAATGCAAATATACATTCATATGGCATGAGTGATTGGTGCTCTGAACACTTTCACTCCCCAATGCAGTAAAATGTAACATTTGCTGTAATCCTTATGTAGAAAAGTATAAGCACACACAAATAATTATTTGTTTAAATTCTTCACCAAAAGAATCAGAATGCTGAGCTGACCCTGTCAAGTATGATTTTACCATGCACTGAACTTACCCAGTTTCCTCTGATGCCTGTAGAACTGATGTTTGACAGCTCACAAGAAACCTTGAAGAATGAGGGCCCACTGAGCAGGGCTTCCTGGAAAGCTAATAGGATAGCAAAAAGAAAGCAATTTCTGGATTCAAGTTCAAATTCCAACTCTCTCTTTCCTGTGCATACAGAGTTTGCTTTGGGCAGACTTGTCCTAGTCACATAATATACATACCAGTCAAAAAGGCATCCTCACCTAGGGCTGCCAAATTACCCATGGTGCAAACCAGCTTCCAACGTCCCCAGCTGGCTGAACACTGCATGACACCTTCTCTTTGGGGAGCTTTCAAGCTTCCAAGGTGATTTTACAGGTGAGCAGAGACAAGGATCATCCCCCTTAGTCTTTGCTGTGGCAGACTGAGCCCATGAACAGTTTGGAACCGTGGGCCACAGCAACTGCACGCCGTGCTAACGTGTGCCAGTGATGAGATGCACACCCTGTTTGTGGCTGTCTTCTCCAGGCAGCTGCAATTGTCACAGCTGCTTCCCAGCTGTGAGTGAGAAAAATAATCAACTACCTGATGCTTTACAACTGCCACAAGCTGGCTTTATAGTTCTTCCTTCTTTAATGTGTTTTTTCACTGATGCCTGTTTTCTTGCAATCTTAATACAAATTTTGGGGAGGCCAAGTTCCCCATGTCATATATCTCAGCTCACACTTTAAGAAACAGGAATTGTCTATCATATGCAAAGGGTAACTAACGTGAGACAAATCTAGTGCTGGAGAATAGAAAGTAAATAAAAACCCTGAAACTTTTCGTGTTAAAATTTCACTGCTTTTTAAGGAAACCTGATAATTCTGGGTGTTGTCTGGATGAAAGCTTTGAATGCTTGGAGCTAGCAGTACTGATTTATACTACCAAGGCACATGCTGTGAACTCTTCTTAAATATGTGGCTTTACTGCTTTAGCACACATCATCAATAGGCACAGGGCACTTTGCATGCATTAACTAATAATAATAACAACAACACTAAACATCTGCAATTGCAGAAATCTGGATATGTCGCACATTTCAGCAACTAAAATGAACTTGAAGGAGGCTTTACTGGCCCAGACTTTGCTCAGTGAGCAGCTGCTGCTGGAGCCCACAATCCTCAATAAAAGCCAAAGACACTGCTGAAGCTCTGTATCCTTCAGAGTGAGGCTCTGCACTGCTTTCTAGCTCCAGCTACTAGACCTGTCTGCCAGCTTTACTTTTTTACCTCAGAAGGCAAGGGTTTCTCTCAGAGCTCAGAGCCTGTGCTGCTGCTGAACATACCAGCTGCTGCCAGTGCAAGTGGGCACAGTAAGTCCCCAGTGCAGCTCTGGTGTGGCAGGACACCTTCAGCACTGAAAAAGGCTCAACTGTGTGACCCCTGGGCTGGCAAACACAAGCAGCAGTGACACCTGGCAGTGAAGCTGCATATGCCTTCACTGATGTTCCCAGGAGCAAGAGCATTCAATCTCAGCAGGAGCCTTTCTGCTACATAATCAAGTGCTAAAATGTCAGTGCCCTTTATGCACAGTGGTAGATCCAGCACCAGCCAGGGCAGTGTGATTCTGCTTTACAGGGAAGGCCAGTCACTCTCCACTGAGAATGATTCCTCCAACTCCACACCAAGGCCAAAATGGGCAAAAAGAGGTCATTGTTCTTCTCACTCCTTTTGCAGGTATTGGGGGTCCCAACTGAAGACACCTGGCCAGGATTTTCCAAGCTCCCCAACTATAACCCAGGTAGGATTTAACTCATGAGAAGGCCAGCTTTTTCTCAGAGCCACTAGCCACTCCATTGTTGGGTCAGTAATTCTTATTATGAAAAATCCTGTGCTTCACTGTTACTAAATCCCTTAAGGTACATAATGACAGTGGTGTAGGACCTACAAAAGGACTGGGACTGGCTTAGTTTACAAACAGAGGTATGTGTGTGCCAAAATTGCTTCACTGAGTGCTGGTGTATGTAAGTCTAATGGAAGATTTCAGTGCTCCAAGTCTTACAGTGTATTTAGTCTCCACTCCTCAGTGGAGTGGAGCAAAGGACCAATGTCTCCTGGTTTAGACTGGAAAAGTTGACAAGCACCTGGAGATACAGTTTATCTGAACTTTCCTTATTTTTATGGAGATTGGTTTGGGGACCTTTAAACCTCAGCTTTAAAGGTCACTGTCCCTGATTTTGATGTCGGCAAGGTGAGAAATCTGTGTGATTTACAAAGCTGGATTCTTTTATTTCCACATGAGCTGGTAGAGAAGTCTGTGTCCTGAACTTCAAAGGGCCAGTTGTCTCTTATTTTGATGTGGGCAGGTTGAGAAGTATGCTTTGAAAAGCTAGCTCAGTCACTCTCCCTCTCCCTCTCTCTCTCTCCCTTTCTCTCTTTCTCTTTTTGTTTAATGTTTTCTCCTGGGAAAATATATTCAAGTGTCAGTGAGGGAAAAATGATGAGCACTGATTCTCAGCCTCTCAGCAGGATCATTCTGTAAGAGAAATATTAAAGTGAAATATTAAAAACCCTAGAATGTGAAATTCAGCCATCCAAATCTAGCCATTCTCACTCACTTATACCATAGGAGAGTGGTGGGGGGAGCCTGTCTATCTGGACAGGGAAAAAAAGAACAGGGGGGAGAGGAGGAGGGAGAAGACGTGCTTTGAGCAAGAGGTTTACAGGTTTAGTAGAGCATAGTAACATCTTTTCAAAGAAGTGGGTGTTGCTCTGTGACCCAGTCCAAGATGCCCCTCCTTTGATTCTGGTGCATGAACACTAAACAGCCCCCATTTTCACATGGTAGCCGAGATTGGCTGAACAATAACCTGGTCTCACAGTCGAAAGGACTGGAATCTTTCACACAATTAGCTGAGACACATTAATCAAACCAGCGTGAAATGGGAATGTGTCGCTGTCCACAGCAAGTTTAATTTGGATAGCAAGCAAGCACAGAGCAGACAGCTGGAGGAAGCATTTTCTTCTCTAAGTTGTAGAAGGCCTGGCTGGATAGTCTACAAGTTGAGAAGAGTAGTCTGGGAGATACAGAAATGCTCATGTGTGGGAGGAACTAATCACGAAGAAGTTTTTTATGCCAGCCATCTGCTAATACAAAGCCTCAAACATACAAACTCTGAGTGATGATGGTTAGGTATCCTGGTGCTAGGTAGAGGCACAACCTGGAAATGCAAGCATTAAGGCTATGTTACCAAAGAAACTTGCACAGACAACAAAGAATGTGAAAGCCTAGAACTGCTCTGAGTAGTGATTCCCTCAGCTCTGTTTTGTCTGAGTAGCAGTGCTGTCCTCTGCTGCTCTGGAGGGTGCCAATGGCAGGGCTGGGAAGGAGAGGACAGGCACCTGGACAGCAGGGCAACAACCCCAGTGAAGCTGAGACATCATAAGCAGTTTTCAAGCCTGACTTGCTTTCAGACTTGATAGAAAGTTTCCCTAGAGGACTCCAGAGGGCCAGAATTGACCTGTGCTGTGCTGTGATACTGGAATGCTGGTGCCTTTGTGGCAGGACCAGGCAGAAATGCAGGACTCAGAGGACACTTCTGTTGGAGCACCCCACAGAGCTGGCAAACACATGGAAGATGCTCTGTCAGTGTTCGGGGCAATAGCTGTGTTAGCTGGAGAGGCAATATCCCTTTCCCCTCTTGAGAGCCTAAGGGGCTGTGAGCTGTTCCAGCCACATATGGGAGCCAAGCACTTGGCTCACACCTGGATTACACAAGCCAGTCTGGAAGAGGAAGGCTAGGCTGAAGTTGGACTATTTGCTCTACTCATGAACTAAATCAATTCACTTTTTGATGAGACTGCTGGTAAAAAGACAATTAGTCTCTTTGTTTAAAGTAAAATGCCATTTATATGCTTCTGGGCACTTCCCCTCTCTTCCCTGAAGCACAAATGCTGTTCCCCCCCCAGGACATGCTCAGCCCCAATACCGTCTGTGGAGTCAGCCTGAGCAAACCTTCTCTCCTGAGGTTTTTCCCAGACCATTTGTGCGAATCTGGGTGCCTGGGTTGGTTCAGATAAGCAAACAAACTTTGGAGCTCTTCTCCAAATCTGATGGTTTGAATTCTTTTAGCTAGTCCTATTGATGTTCACACTGAGCACAGGCAGCAAACAAACAAACAGGTTCCTGCCCGCGGCAAGGAATGAACACGGGCAAAACAAAGCACTGAGGTGTGATCCTATTCTCATTGAAGTTGATGGTAAAACTCCCACTGGATTCAGCAGCAGTAGGCGCAGCCCCAGACTGAGACTGTTACTGGAAGGGTTCCTGGGCCAGGTGGGTTAGTAGGAATCTTTGAAATGAAAGCTGGAAACCTTTAGATGTTTTCCTGTCACTGCTGTGGGCTTGAGCACATCCTGCTGCAGTCTGGAAAGGATACAGCATGGGCTCTGTGAGTCAGGCACACACAGGGCAGCTGGAGGAAAAGCAGCTCCTCTGCCTCCTCTATGGGCAGCTGGCAAGGGATGGAATGTGCAAAGGCGTTTTTGACTGCCCTGTGCCCTGGTGTCTTGCACAACGTTCAAGAACACCCTCATGCCCATTCCCTACAGTTTGCCAAAGTCTCAACCTGACTCCAGGTGAATGGGAAGGATGGGTGAGTAACCTGTTTGTGGCCAGCCCTACTTGTGATGTCACCTTCTCTCTGCAGGAGTGGCACTTGGGATAGGGAATTATGTGCAGTCATAGGGCCTGCAAGCAGGTTGGAGAGCCATTCCCTGGAGAACAGGAAGGACTGGGAGAGCTCCTGCCCCACATCTCAGCACAGTTGCTGGCTGTCTCCCTGGCTCCCCGGGCTTACCAGCCCTACCCATAGTGACAAGGCTTTGCCCTGTGTTTGTTCATTTGTTCTGTTCCCTCATTTTGCTTCCCCTGAAAGAGGCAGTTGCAGCTCTGTTAACACTATTTTTGAAAGCTCTCATGCTGAGTGAGCTCAAATCCTTGCATTAATCTACTGCTGTGTTCATTTCACTGCGCTGAAAAGCAGTGAGTTTAAATCCCCTCTAAACACCATTGGTGACACCAGAAGGCCAGTGTTTTGATCCAGCCCCATTAATGGTTACAAGTTTGAATCTAGACAGCAGGGGTCAAGGGCAGGAAAGGATTAGGAATCACAGCCCATGACATTAAGCTAGTGCTTTTGCCAAACTGGGAATGCTGGAGCGCCCAATGTACCAAGTTAGTTTGTATTTCCTTTTCCTGAAATTTGGATTCCAAAGAATGGGAAGCAGTGCATACCTATCTATAACCTGATGAACTGAGAGTGAGCTTTACCCCTTGATTTATTGCACAGCCTGAATGATGAACTTGCCTGTGCCAGGTAATATCACCTCACAGAGCATATGCAGGTTTCACACAAGGCCTTTTCAGATGCATCAATGACTTTCAAATAAAACCTAGTTTTTAATTTTTCTGCCGGCTTTGGTATGCTGAATGAGATTTAGAAGCTTTCCAGAGTCAACTTGTGCTTCCAGGTATGTTTTCAGTATCTGCTGCGTTTCCAAAATGTCACCAGCAGATGGAGGCAACAAGCAGCACGCCCTGAAATACAAACTTCCCATGTCATTTGTGAAAATGCAGATGAAGTCTGCATTCCGAGTGCTTTGGGGTTTTTTTGTAATCTCACTTTTTATGTTGATGTTTCATTTAACACATGGGATAGTTGAAAACTGAATTCTAAAACGATAAAATTTTTATTGTCATAATAAACTGCATGTGGCTTTGATCTCAAAGGGAAGAGCAGCACTGTAACTAATGTGCAATGTATGCTAGCCAGGGTGTAGGGAAACTTCCCATCTGTGTGGCAATGGGCACAGCCTGCAGTTTCCAGCCTGCCACACAGACAGAGCTCTGCTCCTGTCCTGAAGCCACAGAGATTTCACTAATGAGAGAAATTTTCTCTGTGAGCCTACAACCCCACTGCCTTCATCCAGCAGCACTTGGCATCCCTTTTCTCTCTCTTCATCAATTAGGAAAGTTTAACTTTTGTCCTCTGGCTTGCTTGCCTCATTATCAGTTCATTAGCCACTTCCACCTGGGTTTTCAAATAGGAAGGTATTTCCTCATTAGCACACTCTACCTTGCATAAGGATAGAAAATAACAAACCTACCGTGCTACCTTTCAGATCTACTCATACTGTTAAAAAAGCCAATCAGCTCTACACAATCGCATCATTTTATGTCTACATCATCATTGTGAGATGATTAAATCTGTAGTTCATCCACTTTTTTGAATGATCTAAATATTCTTTATCTCTTACCTTTATGGAGTAGCTGTTTACAGTGTTTTACAATTTTAGATTGCTCTTAATCTTACAGTAGGGAAAATATTTACAGCCCTGTTTTTACCCTGCTCAACACAACGGGGCCTCGGCATTCTCTAAGGATTTGTCTATATGGGGTCAGTCAGGAGATTAATCTGAACTGATTTAAACTGCATTAGTTAACTGCATTAAGTCCTTGAGCAGAGACACACAGTTTTCTTACCCATATCTTCCATTTATAATCAAAGCTCTGTATACTCAAAGTGGCAAATTTGGCAGTCCTCACTCAAGCTGAATTCTTCACTGAGAGATGAGTTTGGACAGGGACAGGAGTAGATGGCTCGCTGGCTCTTACGCTACCCCTTGCAGATAATTATTAATCTCCAGGTTACATAAAAGATAAATTTAAGTCAAGAGGCTTGCTCAAGACAGCAAACTCTAATTCAGGTATTCCTTCCAGTTCCCAGTAAGCAAGCTGATATTTCTATTTCTAAGACAACTCTATTTCCTTTTTGGAATGTTAATCCTGAAAATACACTCTGCAAAAACAAAGCGACATTTCACTAAGATATCATTGAAACGTTTTGCCCTGCTGTTACCAACTCAACATGCATTTTTAAAATTCTGTGTTAAACTCATTAAAGAGTATTAATGTTAAAAGATTTCAGTACAGTACTTAAATAATCTTGGCATTTTTACTAATAATTAATGCAATTGATATATTGTCATAAAATGTTTTTATCTCACAAATCAAATTTTTCTGACAGAAAGTTACCACATCTGAAAGTTTTTGGCCAGCTCTGTGAAGAGATAAAAATTTCTACCTCACACAGAAAAATTTTTTGCCTTTCCAAACCACTTTTAAAATTGTTTTTCTTCTACTCTGTCTGGAAACTTTACATGGGTAATTTATTTTTACACTTTTGTTACAGTCAAGGGGGCAAAAAAAAAGAAAAGATGATCAGTGAAAATGTTACTAGTGATCCAAGAGCAATGTTCTGCCAGTCTTGGTGACTTATTTAGGAAGGGAGTATTCAAGATGCTAATATATAGCTTCTATATATTGGTGATATTCCAGTGCTGTGGCACATAAACAGCCATAAATCTCATCCTAAGTTATATTCCCATTTACTGCTTTAGAAATTACCTTAGTATTTGGGTGTAGGAGAACAATTCAATTCTGAACTGTTACTTACCCTGTGAGAGGTTTAACAACCTGGCTTGCCTGGTTCAATGGTGCAAGATTGCTGCTGGAAAGGTCAAGGGCTGGAAGTTCAGTCATTTGCACTTTTTCAAGTTGTCTGTGCATCAAGTCAGACATAGGGTCTGGCACTCTGGAAATGGCCGTGCAGGCAAAAGCAGAGGGGACTCTCACCTGGACTGCAGCAGGCAGCTCCTGTCCCTGAATGAAGTGCCTGCTGCTTCCTGGCAGGCAGGGAGGGCAGATGCTCTGGAAAGGTGCAGCATTAACCCCAGCCAAGCTCTGAGGCTGCTGGCAGCAGACCAGTGGTGCTTGCCTCCTGGTGGTCTCCCTGCTGTGGGGAGTGCTTGTCCAGGCTGAGCTGGAAGAGAGGTGGACACCACCCATCCTGCTCTCCTTCCCATGACTAGAGTGCCACTGTTCATTCTCTGCTGTCAGAAACAGTGCTCAGGAAAATGTAGGTGGGTAGAAATTGCAGCCTTTCTGATTGCAAAAAAAAAATCTCTGTTCATCATCTCCACGGGGAAATTTTCTAGGCTTAAGCCATTCATTCATATCTAAGCCTGAGAAAACTCATGCTTTACAATAAAGCATTTGAGGAATGTATTCCTCTATATTTACCACAATGTTTAGAAATATGTCCTTGAAAAATATCAAGAACACAGACTTCACAAAACTGCAAACTCTGCTAAGTTCCAGTCTAATAGAGATCACAATAATCAGTGAGTACAAAGCCTCCATGAGCATGGTTAACTGGGCAAACAACAAACACAGTGAGGGCTGTGGGCAAGAAGAGAGTGGGATCAAAGTGCTTCGTCTCCATCCCCAGTGTTACTGCTGCATCCATGTAGAAAAGCCCCATGTACCCATGGGGGCAATATGTGAAGCTCAGCAGCCCCTTGGAAAGTCAAGACAATTGACTGGGGATTCAGGCCTGCAAACTTCTTTTTGCTTCCTTTGTGTGAAGGCTTTAGGGACTGATACTGCTTTTATTGATGTCAAAGCTAAGACTCACACTGTAACAGGAGGAGGTCCAAGGCCTATACTCACAGATATATGAAAGGGTTCCAGAGCTGGAACAGCCTTATTAAGATCAATGCAGGTATTCAAGTCCTATAGGAATAATGTATATTTATAAACAATAAAATGATAGATTCTATAGGGCCCTTTGAAATTCTGAGCACATTTTTTTGTAGGGGCTCAGAGAATGGGTTTTGGCTTGATTTTCATTTAATCTTGTGATTGCATATTACACTTTCTAGAACTGGTTGCTTCCAGGAGACCTCAGAGACTCCGAGTCATCTGTGACAGGTAAGCTACCTATAACAGCAATGTCAAAATTGCCTCTGGGTTTATTTGTTTCTTTGTGCAATCATTTAACTTGAAATGAGCTCTTTTGGCAAGCTCAGGAAGAGCAGGGTGGCTCTGTAGTAACAAGCAGATCTAACATCAGTTAAGCAACTGATTTTGAGAGATCTCAGCAAAGGTAGACACATAGTGGGTTTATTATTCTCAGAGGAGTAGTGATTATTCTGAGATAAGCAGTGATTCAGTGACTTTGTGTGCAGCTTTCTGTGGGGCACAGTTCGATTGAGAAGGTCATACTTTCCCAGGCTCTCTTGCCCAGACTGAGGACAGACTTCACACTGTCCCAATTTTCATTTTTGAAAACAGACTGTAGGAATGTTGCTCAACAGCAGTAAGGAAGACATGCTAGGACAGCATTTTTATGAGACAATGAAATAATCTTGTGATTAGCTAGGAGGGGGAAAATCACATTCTTAGTGGCCAAAGCTATGAGATGAAGGCCATGGTTACACACACAGCTTGACCAGAGACACCAGCACTACTGAATCACTCCCTAGTGTGCTAAGGGAAAGCAGTGTTTTTTCAGGCACATACAGACACACACACACACACACACACATAGAGAATGTATATATGTATCACTGAAAGAAATTTATAATCAGACAAAGTGCCCTAACCTAGCTAAAGGGAGTCATTCAAATCAAATCCCCCTAAACTGACTTTGAGGCACACAGCAGGTTTTATAGATATGTAGGAAAAGACAAGACAGGATTTGTCCTCAAGATTGTGTCCATGAAGATGCCAATAATCAAATATCCTTTGAGGACATAACCACATTTTTCATTGCTGTTTATTATCTGTTCAGCTGATTGCTTGGGCTCCAGCCCTGCTAGGAGGGAAGTGTGCGGCTCTTCAGAGCAGGATTTCCCAGATGCTGTTCTAAATGGCTGAACAAACATGCTAAAGTTTTCAGCAAAGCACAGGTTACTGAAATGCCAGCCATTGTCACGCACAGCTTGAGAAACACAGAAAGCTCAATATGTCCCAAACCCTTATAATGCAGGTCCTGGAACAGAACAAATTCTCTCTCAGCCTGAACAAAGAAATAAGTATATTCCTTGTGACTGTGCTATACTGCACTTCTGCTTTTTGGCCATAATCCTTTGACAGACCCCATTTCAGGTCAAACCAAGGGGCTGGCCTAGCACCTCCATAGCAGAGCTCTGGGCTGAATGTGGGCCAGCTCCAGCTCTGCCTTAGAGTCCTGGTGCTGCCATGGCCAAATAACTGCCTTGGAATGCTCAGCTTGGGAGAAGGAAAGAGCTGCTTCATACAGACTGCTCAGCCATGACTCTCCATGGACAATTAAGAAATCAAAAGGGAGCTCTCCACAGAGCTTGGCCACCACCAGGAAGCCTGAGCCATGGTGGGAGGCACAGAACTGTGTTGCTGCCCAGAGTGGGAGCCTGCAGCAGCAGAGACCAGGGGGCAGAAGGTCTCCAGCAAGACCCTGCCAGGGCAAGGGCAGCCTGTCATGCACTCTAGCAAGAGGCCTCAGACAGGATGCTTTGGCTCCCTGTCCCATCCCTGGTCCCCAAGGAAGGGGAACTTGAGTTGTTTTTCTGGAGGTGAAAATTCAGCGATTATCTACCACAGTGAGGCCAGATACCTTCTACAAATTTGTTTCTCAGGGTCTCTTTTTCTCCTTCTGTCTTGGTGTTTTTTCCTCTTCTTTTATATTTTACATTTTATCTCCTCAAAACAAAAATGTCAGCATGTCAAATGTCCTGTATAGGGAGGGGGAGTGCAGGAGCAGGGGGATCCCAGCTCCTGATGTCACTTGGAGGGGAAGCACCGCTGGGGGCAAGGGAGGAAGCACAACAGGCCATGCTCTGAAGCTGAAATGTGATCAGAACAAACAAACAAAGTAAAAGCTGTAAAACTAAATGACTATTTTTATTTGTTTCCTTGTTGGTTTGTTTTTGCTCTTCCACTTCCTTGTCCCCAGCTGTGTGCTCCTCTAAGGAGCAGCCACTTGGCATTGGTGTTTACTGGGCATGAAGCATATGTGTATTACATTTATTTTAAGCACTCATTCTAAGAAACAGATTCTTCTCTGTGAATCCCCAACACAATTTACAACCAGCTGCACTACTGGTACTGGGGTAGGAGAAGAGGAAATGGTATTTTCTTTAGGTTTATTAGGTTTGACCTCTAGTCTTCTCATTGGGCCAGTCACGTTATTTTTTTACATTTGTATTGTCACTGTAAACTGATACCACCAAACTCTGATATTACAGTTACAACATGTAAAATATAGTCTCTTCAGCATCATTTCCCCTTTCACTTACAACTTTCTTTTTAAAAACCAGAAATTGGTTTTCAAAATTTGTCTGTAAACATGAGTTTGAGCTGAATGCATATGCCCCAACGTAGTCAAACTCAGATGGAAAAGCAAATGTCCTGCAAAGCTGTGTAGCTGGGGTGGGTTTATCCAGCTCCCCTGTGTCCCTCCACTATCTTCACCTCAAGCTGAGAAGGGCTGGGTCATGTTCTGGTTCCAGCTTTCTGGCTCATCCTCATCTCCTGTGCTATTTTTTCTTCTGTTTCCCTAGGATGAGCAGGGTGCCAGCAGCAGAGAATTTGGCCTCCAGGATGCTCACAGCCTTCCCTCGAGGCCGAATCTCTGCACAAGATGCACTTCTTCATAGCTTCTTCAGCCCTCTGCCTCCTCATCTCTACCAGGTTCCTGCTGGTAAGTTAACTCTCTATTTCATCTCACCAAGAAAGAGCTGCTGTACGTGCTATTTACTGTGAGTTTCCTCTCTATTTTTGAAAGTCTCTGTCATTCACCTGGATGTCTCTCTTTTCTGCCTGCACTCCCTCCCCACTCCTATAAGCTGCAAAGTTTACCTCCTGTGCCAAATTTGACAACTTGTTTTTCTGTTTTCTTCTACTTGACCACTGTGTTAATACTAGAAGGGGACCTTGATGGGCTGCTACCATGGTGCTCTGCAAAGCAGAGGTGTATATGCTTTGACAGGTTATCTCTCCCCCATTCTGTAACCCCAAGGGCCTGGACATTTCTCAGCTCACACTGTGTGTTCAGTGTAACTCACCCGCTGGTCCCTCCTGATGTCCTAAATTCCCATCTGCTCAGCATGGTGTGCTAGCCCCAATTCCCTCGGACTGCTCCTCCCACTCCCTTTTGATGTTGAGACAGCTGTTCCTTGTACCCTGTCACACCAGCTCTCCCTCAGTTTTACCTTGCTCCCTTCTCTTAAGCACACAGCTGCACATGCAGCTGTGCCTCTCCTGGCCTGAGCTGACAAAAAATACAGGGTCTCCAAGCTGCAGTTCTGCTCCTCACGAGGGAAAGCAAGGTCCAAAGGGACCTTGCATTCCCAGTTGCCTCCTGGGCACCCTGTACACTAGTTACTTTGGTGGTGTTTTTAAAGATAGGGGCAATTAAGAAAAAGCCTTCATGGACTGTGTTGTCAAGCTATTGGAAAACCAAATTTCTGGCTCCTGCGACACATCCCAAGTGGAGAAGCAGCCAGCTAGCATCTCTCCCAGTCCCCCAAACTGCTGCCCTTCAGAAGGTGCTCTGTGTGTGTATGTGCTTGAGTGAGAGACATCTGCATTCCTTTTCTGTTCACCCAGCCACAGAGCACAAATCTACTTTGACACTTTTAGAAAAATGAAAAGATGGAATCTCACAGGAGCCTGCCTGTGCCGGGGGGGGAGGAGGGGAGCACGCACAGCAGGAGGGAAGTTGACTTTTCTTTATACATATAGGGTTTTTTCCATGCAGAGTTTAAATTATGCCTGATAAAAGGAGTTTCGTGGATGTTTCAGTTCTTTCAAACCCTCCTGGCTTCCTCCCAATTAAATGAGGTTTGTCAAAGCCACAGGGCTCTGCTGCTGCCAGAGAGGCGGACAAGCACTTCCCGCAGTGACATCTCCAATCCCCAAGGGAGAAGATGAAAGTGTCAGTGCTGAGAGAGAGAGAAAGAGGGAGAGAGAGAGAGAGAGAGAGGAAAAAAACAGGTACAGAGACAGACAGTGTGAGAGAAAGGGAGAGAGTGAGGAGAAAGAGAAGGAATGAGAAAACAGATTGGCATAATGTGTCAATCTCTCCGATATGCTGCCAGTGAGGGCACAGATTCCTTTCACCTGGGTTTAGGCACCGTCCCATATTTATTATCCCCCATATTGCAGCAAGAAGTGTCGTGTGGACAGGAAACTGCATGGTGTTATCATAGCAACCAATGTGCTGAGAACAGAATCAAAGTGCACAGGGCTGAAACAAGTACAGTACGATCATGCAAGACCATATTCATGAGTGACTCATTAAGCCTGTAAAATTTAGGCTATTCTGAATAATTCTCCATGTAGCCATTCCAATTGCCATAATTGTTTAAGACATTTGCTCTCTTGTGTCACTTTGGCATAACACTCTTTTGGAATTTAACTGTATAATTTTAAAATTCTTGTTGCTATGATAACAGTGCAGATTTTAAATATATTCTGTTCAACTTTGTTCTGGAGGATGCTGGCTACTAGTTGCCATCCTCTGAAAGGGAAAGTTAAAGCAGAAGGCAGAATGTGATCTGGAGATGAAAGGTGAAAGAAGAGGGGTTTAATCCCAAGGTGTGTAAGAGAGTAAGAGGGAAACAAGGTTTGAAAAAATAAAAGGTTCTCTTAAAAAATTATTCTCTGTTTTTATGAAATAATTGTATCCATAACTGTCCTTTTTATAAGTTGTTATGACAAGCTGGAAGCTAGAGGATATTTTTCAAAGGTCAGTTCCTGGGAAAAAATAATTGGAGAAATCACTGTTTTGAAGTTAAGTACCCCTCCAAATAGCAGGTTTCTGATTCCTAGGGAGAATGTTAATGGTGAGGCTGGCTGCTGCCCCTGGGAATGGGGAGAGGGAGCACAGGGCTCTTTGCTTCCTCGAGAGCAGCTCCTACAGAGTGGAACAGGTTGCTGTTGCTATGCTCATCTGAGCACAAAGTGCTGGGAAAAAAGAGTAGCCCGTGCTCTAAGGGAAGAAGAAGGTTCTCTGTCCTCTGAGTGGGACTGGCCCATAGATGGGCCTCTCCCACAGCTGCTCATTCCTGTGCCTGTAGCTCTAGGAGGGGATTCCTGAGGTCCAGGTTCAAACCTTGCTCATCATCTCAGTGGCCTTAATTCTACATGTGCCACCAGCACCTCTGCATATAAAAAGAGAGAGAGGTGCAGGGGTTTCTTCAGCTTCCTTTCCTTTAGGCTAGTAGCCTAAGGGGTGGCAGTGATGACCTTTGTAAAACCGGAGCATTTGCTGTCCTTTTTCTGGCCAGAGCCAATCCTGAGACAATTATCTTTGTGCAGTGCAGCCCTGCATTGCAGCAGCTCTGATAAAACTTCATTCTAACCCTTTGCCACCTGCTAAAGCAGAATGTTTTCTGTCCAATTAATCCCTCCTGGAAGAAAGATGAGATCCTTGAATCAAGAAAGCATGAGCAGTGCTCTCAACTCAGTGTCAGTCCTGAAGTGCAAAAGGGCCTTCTGAGGAGGTATCTCACTCTGTTGTCAGACAGGTCAGACACAGTAACAACTGCAGCTTATTATTCTTAGTTATAGATTAGGTTTATTTTCCCTCTCTTTTTCCCTCCAATGCTTTAGAGCAGACTTGCAAGAAGGGAAGGTAAGCAGTGGGATTTGGGGTTATCAACAATGCACTCCCAAGAAAACACACTGCAAGAAGAGCTCTGGCCAAACCTCACAGGCACAGGGGCCAGGGAGGCCTGAGCTGGCAGCTCAGATCCTTTCCCCACCAGACCAATGCCCAGTCTCACGAGAGACCTTTCTCTCAGTGTAGGAGATGCTCAACCCTGGCTGTACCCTCAGCACAGCAGTCAGTAAATTTCAGTACATGCTCCATCAGGACTGTGTGTTGCATGGATGGGATCTTGGCTTTGACTAGGAGGTACTTGCTCTTTTGGGTACAATTGGTCTCTAATTGTTATCGCCCCAGCAACACAAAATCAGTGCACCAGGTGATGAAGACACTCTACCATTTCTCCTGAAACAGCCCACTATTCAGCCTTTCAGGGACAAGGAGGAGGAGGAGGGAGGCTTGATGTTGACAGTCATTTTAATGTCTGTTGCATCTAAACTAAGACAAAGCAAGTCAGTAAGTTTGGGCAATGAGGAGGTTAAGGCTGCAAGCCATTGCCTACTAAAAATCCCATTACTGTTGGGATTAGCCAGCACTGGGAAATGTTATCGCAGGGGACATATAAAGAAGAGCTGGCTTTCATCATCCCTTGTTTGGGTTGGCTGGTTTCCCTCGGTTCTCCTACATAACTAAAAGGTTCATACAGTTCATACTTGATTTTTTTTACCACTTTGCTTTGTGACCTCTGTACACAGCAAACAGATATCCTTCACTGTAAGTCAGATACAGACACCTAGAAAGTTCCTACCAGGTGTATGAGTCTGGTTTATAATGTGTTTTAATATGGGAATAAACCAAAGCTGGTGATGAGCAGGAAATCAGCTGCCCCTCCTAAGCCAGAAGCATTCTTATCTGTGAGGTGATAAAACAAATCTTCACTTAACTCAGGAAACCACCCCCCTTCACCTGGTGTGATCCCCACAGTGGAAGATGTGCTTGCCTTCATACTGACAGGACATGAAAGTTTTGTATTGTGTCATTAAGCCACCACCCTAGGAAAGAGCTGTTGCAACATCACAGTAGATGCTTGCCAAGTGCACAGGGCCCTGGACATGTTGCCCTGTTGAAGCTTTTCCCTGCATGCTGTCCTGGGGCAGCCATTGTGTTGGACACTGTTTAGGAGCACGGAGCAAAGGGGAAGATGGGAAAAGGAAAATTTCCTTTGCTCACTCCCCAGCTCCTGCTCTTGCAAAAGCAACTGGCGCAAAGTTTGGCCCACATGACTTGTGGAAACAAAGTCCTACAGACATGGATCAAATGCTCTGACTCCCATTGATCTCAGGCCAGAGAATCTCTATAAAGGTCTTATTGTTCAGGGAGACAAACCACTCTTGGGGGGAGTGCTGTTAATACCGTTCGTGGAGGCAGACACTATTGCATCAGAGGTTAGCAGATGTTTTTCTGTGTTTTGTCTAATTGCAAGTTATAGCTGAGGTTTCTTTAACTTCCATTTTCCCTTTAACACTCTTAAATGCAAATCTGAAAAGATTTAGTTGTCTTGTTTGCTGTGAAAAGACATCCAGACTGGAAGTCTCACATAGTCATTTCCCATCCTCAGGTGCACTTGTGACTTCACCCAGTTATCAGCAGAAAAGAGTAAATAGGGAGGTAGTGATCAGATTTCTAAGGCACAAAAGTTAAAGCTAAGTTTGAGATTGTGACAGCAAGCAACCATGAGCATAGGAACTCAATTAGCCTGAAAGACAACTATCTCATTATCTTTCCTAAAATGATATAAATACATAAGAATATAAAAATTTAAAATAAACTCTCTATTGACTGTCTAGATGACTGAATTTCACTGCTCAATTTCTTTAAACACCCACTTTAGTATTTATTTATTCTAAGCGTGAAGCAGCTACGATAATTAGACTGTCAGATTTGGTAAGTTAATGAGGAGTCACTGGAGTGGAAGGTTTTGCATTTGTGAGATTGCTGAAGGAGAGAAGCTCTGTGCCTTCGCTCTATCTCTTTTTTCTTTTTCTTTTTTTCCCCTCTGCTGGGTGGGAAGGAGAGAGCTTGGCAGTGCGCAGATCCATTTGAATCCTTTTGATTAGTGGGTTGCCTTCCTACCACTGTTCTACCAAATAGTATTTTGCTGGTTGCTCCAAGAAAAAGAAAAAGAAAAAAGAAAAGAAACTGCAGATGAGATTTCTAGAGAAGAGTGTCTAGATTAAAGAAATAATTTTCCAAAAACAATCAGAAGGAATGCAGCTGTAAGAAATGAATTCGTTTATATTGCAGCTAATGTCACAGGAGAGCATTAAGAAAGTAGCACATGAAGGAAAAGGACCCTTTTGCAGCTTTCTCTTTAACCTGATTTTTCCACAGGACAATCAGTGCTCACAGTTCCAGGGGTGAGACTGCAACCTGAAATCTGTGACCTGTTTGCTTCTTATGGAAAAGGCCGTGTCTCAGGAGGTTTGAGCAAGTTTTGGTAGAAACCATGGATGATTGAATAATTGTTGGGTAAGCATGTAGTTGCCATTGTCAAAGCTGCTGCCATCACCCTTAGGACATGAATTCCTTCGTGTATTGAAGGTGGGAAAACCAATTTGATACTCAGGGCTCGATGATCACATCCAGAGTGAGAACAAAGTGGGAAATTTCATATTCAGAGAGAAGAGATCAGCAAGCCAATGGCTCCCAATGAACAGTGTTCAGTGGTATCATGGGAGGTTTGGATTTGTTTTGTCATATTGCCAAGTCTCAGACCAGTGCCCTTTCCTCCAATGCCTCTCCAGTCAAAGTATTGCTTCATTTCCCCATTGCTTAAACTGACCAAATTGCTTTGTTCTCCTTTGTCCTTGCCTACTGAGTTCACATTTCATACTTTACTTGTTTTGATTTCACACACATTGGAACTTGAGTGGAGCTAGGCAAAATCTCCTTATCTTGTAATATCTTTGGTTTTAATTAATCACTATTTTAATGTCAGGTTTCAAAATTATGCTTCAGCATCAATATTTTTCATCTTTTTGTTACAGAAGACCTAAAGGTCGCTTAAAATCACTGTTATTAAAAGAAATTACCAGAAAATATCCTTTTATTATATCCTGTCTCTTTGTTTACTTTGTGCATTTGTTAGCAGCGTGTGTCCTGTCAGTGCCACTGCTGGGTCTGTGCTTGCAGGGCAGACCTGGAAACTGATTTTGAGGCCAAATTAGTTTGACTGTGTTATTGTCTGCCAAGCTAAGAGGCAGCCTTAGGATAGCAGGACACACCTCAGCTACCCATCTGTGCTTTCAAATGCATGTAGATGCTGTACCTGCTATAGGATCAGGTCCCAGCACACAGTGCCTGGTCTCACAGCCTCTCTACCCCTTCTGCCCACACCATGTAGACGACAGCAGGCAGAGGGGCCAGCCTGGAATCCTTTGAAGAAAAACCTGACATTGCCAGTGCTGTGACCAGATTGTGTTTTGGAAGCAGCTTGAATGCCTTCCCTGCTCACCTGCTCAACTGTGTGCAGACAGGATTGCTTTTCCCTCTCTGTGATCAGAGAGGAACTAATCCTGCCAGAAAAGCTGGCTGTCAGTTCCACTAAGGCTTCTGGGGCAACTCACTTGAGGAGGGCACTCATGCATCAATGTTCTATGAACTTGGATTTGGCCCATTTTAAATGATTTAGAGAGCATTTCACAAATATATCATTTAAAATAGTGAAAGCTTGCAATAATAGGAGAAACTCTTAACATTTTTTGTTATATATTAACCTGTCCTCAAAATGATTGTGTCCCTTTTTTTTAGCTGCTTACAAAGCATGCTAGACAAGCTTAAATGCCAACTCAAGTTTTCTTCTGCAGTTCATTGCAGGAAAACATTCTATTTGTGATGGTGTTCATATTATTAATTCTCTTTTTAAAAAAGGTATCTAGATTCAGACATGCAAGCAAGGTTACAGTATTTTTTTCTGTCATTTTAATAGGCTACCAATGGAAAGTGGGGGCTTCTGTATGCTTTTTCAAATCTAATGAGAGGCAGATAGGCATCTAAAGCACAACAGCCTCACGCTGGCACATGAGAGAATGGAATTTCCTGGGAACATAATGAAATTGGCCAGCCTTCCTTCCTTTGCCAACCTAACTTAAGTTACAAAAATAGACAAAACCAAAAAACTAAACATACTAGGCTCCATCTTGAATCCATGGGCCCTGAGCAACACAACAAGGGACTAAACATCATCACAGACTCCTCCTTGTTCTCCTTCTGGTTTCAGGAAAAGATGAGATACTGTCAGTTGTCTATCCCAGGGTGATATATACTCCATGCCAACACTCCACCCATTTTCTGCCCTATTCCACCCACCACTTTCCCTCTACCTGCTGAGGAGGAACATATGGGTCATTGGAATCTGCTACTGTTCTCGTTCTGCCTCTCAAAATAAATATTCAGATATCTAATGCTGCACCTCCTACATGTGTGTGATACTGTACCAGCTAAGTGTAGTTGAATCTACAGGAAGAGAAAAGCCTGTTTTAAACCAACTGTTGACAAGCAGAATAACTGAAGGCACTAGCCCTGCAGAATATTTGTAATTGGGATTTATTTTTCTTTTTGATTCAGGACTTAGGCCATGGATCTTTCCCCTCATAGAGTTAGTTCCTCTGCAATAGGGGCAGATTGTACCCTCCCTTACACCAAAGACCTTTGAAATAACTCCTTATGTTGAGAAAATGAAGAAAAGTCTTTGAGATTATAAAACAAGGACACAGTTTGAGGGGTGGGGTGTGTGTTTTTCAAAAGTCACCTTTCAGTAGAAGGGAATGAAATTGTGCAGATGTCCTGCCTTTTGTTTTTCAGAAAGCAATGTCAGAAGGATTGACTTGGCAACGAAGAAGCAACAGCACAGTCTGGACACTGGACTTGCAGAATATACTCAGCCATGTGTCACTTAATAGAGAGCTCCCTGGACCAGAAGATCGATGTACAAACAGGACAGATGGGGACTGACAATTGAAAGAATGTAGAGGCTCATCCAAGGCTTACAGAGACCTGTCATTCCTGGGGTATGCCTACAATCTCCTTCAACAAAAGAGCTCCTGAGGGAAGGAGGGGATTAGTCAAAAGTTGAGTGAAGTCTCCAGGGAAGATGGTTTCTTGGATAGAGTTGTCAACAAAAGGAATTGTTTAAGACTATTTGTGATAATTTCCTAGAGGGAGCTTCTGCCATTACTAACAGGATTACCAGCATACTGGTTCCACACCAGCAGAGCATTAGACATGTGCATTGCAGACTGGTTGCTTAGAGCTGAATTCAGGGGTCTTATACAGCATCCCAAATGTGTGCAGGTGTTGATGAGCAGAGGGGAGATGGCAGAGAATTAAGATGCAGCCAAATGCAGTCCATTTTTGGTCCAGCTGTTGCAGAGAGTCCTGGCTCATTAATGAGTTTCCACAGTGTTTTAATCTCCTTGATCTCAAGGCTGCTGACAGACCATAAGAAGGAAAGCTAATCTGAGGTGAGTGCTGATGGGGATACATGGGGAAATCAGAGACCTCTTTCCCAACTGCAGTTACTGTGAAATTTCTCATAGGATTCTTCCTGGAAGAATTGGGAAAGCAAGTAATTTACTGTGTTCAAGTACCAGTCTGCTTGGTTTCAGTTTTCTCAGATACTTTTTCTTAGCTCTGGGATATAGAAACCAGTAGCCTTGGTGTAACCTCACAGTACATCTGGGAAGAAAAGGAAGACAAAGATAAATTGCTGAGGTGCAGACATATAAACCTTCTTGAATATTTTTATTCATCTGAGTAGTGTCACTGGCATGGCTGGAAGAACTCTGAGCAAGAATTATGCAGAGCTTTGAGGCACTGGAACAAAACCAGTCAAGGAGCCATGAGTGGCAGCCATAGAAACAGCTGAAAGGTGAAAAGCTGAAAGGAGCTTTTAGTTAAGAGAGCTGCATCTCCAGCCCCACTCCAGTCCATCATTTACCAAACACACACTGCAGATCTGGGCAGGAAGCATCACAACAGTTTATGTTCCCCTTTGCCCTTGCTACAGGAATGTATAGATTAGCTATATTAAGGGGGACATAGACTGTCTGCAGGCACTGCTCAGTTAAGAGGACAAAATTTTCCTTAGGTTATGTTCTTTAAAATTCTCTGCCTTGATGCAAAGGCAAGCTATGTCCCAAAAGTCTTTCTACCTGTAGATTGCATGGACTTGGATCTCCCAAACTTGGATCAGCCACTCTCAATGACCTGACCTCTCTTTGCAATACTGAACAGAGCAGCTGTACATGATGCCCAAGTTGGGATAGAGGTTGTTTTACATTGCTTTCGCATTCTTGGAGATGTCTGGACTAAGAGCAGTGAAGAAGCAGGGTCTCCATGGTCTGCTCCTAATTGAGAGCAACTAAATGTTCAAGATATGTTAAATGAAAGGATTTGTTATGCATGGGCAGTGAGGGATCTAATGATGAGAACTGAGTCACTTTCCTCATGGCCTATCCAGAGCATCAATTGTAAATTTCTTCTGCCCTGAAGCAGTGGGGCAGAATGGCTTTGCTGTTTTACATAGCTGCCACCCCATAATGGCCATGCCATTGCTAAATTTAGCCATATGCTAAATTGCCAAAGAGTCAAATGATACCTTATAATTCTGTATCTAGAGGGGCAGAAAGCCAGAATGACCCTGGATATGCTGCAACCCAGCAGTCTTCTGTTCATTAACTCAACACTGTAGGCCCAATGCCTAAAATATGCCAGATCAGAGAGAAACTGACTCCAAACCACTCCTCTCTTCAACTAATGAGAATACTATTTACATCAGGAGTACTGTCTCAGTAGATTTTCCATCCCCTGGCCTGCACAATCTCAGGGGCAACAGCCTTCGGGGAAAATGGCTGTAGTGTTGTAATGAGTCAGAAAGAGTAGGAAACAAGAAACATGTCTGAGTCCATGTACCCAGTTAGTGCCACCCAAAAAGGCACTTCTGCTTCCCCCGTTTCCCTCCCTGCTTCAAGCTTTACAGTCTTTCTCTTTTTCTCTCTGTCACTTTTGTAAGCCCTTGAAGAACTGATTTAATTCACTAAACAGATGGAAGACTATGAACTCTTTTGCTGAGTTAGTTTTTCATTGTTTTAGTGAGCTGAATCAGATTATGCAGGGAGGAAATTACGAGACTTAATCATGGATGAGTGGGGAGTCAGAAAGGAGGAGGTGGAAAAATCCATAAAGTTCGTATTCTCTTATCTCCAACCTGCTCACATCTAGTTCCTGTAGTGTGATCATCCCCTGTCACATTTGAATGTCTGATGTTTTGAGACAACTGAATGGGTTCTGGCAAGTAAGTGCTCAGTACTGCTGTCATTTATGTGGGCCCACCTCAAATCCAAATGTTTGCTGTTGAATACCTCACAAGAAGTCCCAGACATTAGCAGAGAGGTGCAGGACTGACCTTTACCTTTTTTTTTTTTTTTCCCCCAGAAAATAT